TTGGCCAGAATTCGAAAAGAATAAACAAATTCAAATCTTAATTAATTAAAATAAACGCAGAAACAGAAACGTTTACCTAAAAGTGCATTAAAATATATAATGACCGTGTTTGCAAACAACACGAAAGTAAATTAGCAGCTCTTTCAACGCTGACAGTTAAGCCATAAAATCACTAGGATAGTTAAAACTCTGATTTTGGCTTCAACCAAACACAGTTTAAAACTCTTCCCTTTGAAAAATGTAAACGAATGTTTTAAGTTAATTACACACTCTAACTTTTTCCAGTCCATGAGATATGTTAACATGAAGTATAATACAACATAAATGTTAAACAAGTCATAAAGCAACCCAGTACTTGATACAGACAGACAGACAGACAGAGGGATGTATAATTGGTGACCACGTTTGGAGTGGGGTAATTATTAAAATTGACTCGGCGAAAAGTGCGTCAGAGAGAAATTTCCTAAAACCACGCCGTAAACCAGCCACTTGGCGTAAATTGGCTTGGAATTAAACACGGGCTTCATTTTCCATGAGTTAATATGTTGATTTGGCCAGTACAGAAAATTGATTTTGAAGAGATGGCTCGGACAGGGCGAAATAATATGACGCGGCTTCGTTCCACCAAGCTTCGTATTTCTGTCAAAGAGATTCATGTACTGCTTGTAATCTGATTGCTTCGTGCCCTTGGTGGCGGCTTAAATCCCTCGACTGTTTCGCTTTCATTTTATTTACGTTGCGTGGGATAATTTTCAAGGACACGGCGAATCACTGTGATTTTACCAGGCATAATTCGTTACAATTTTTGTCCGCTTTAACATCCGGCGCCACCTGATAACTTTTAGTTCACGAAGCCATGTATTCTGCGTAAGATGCATTTTTTTATTATTCAGATAAGAATAAAGATTGCTGTCTTCTGACTCACCATGAAAACCTCAAATTCTACGCAGATAAAGACAGCTACAATAAGACAACGTTGTATTTACGTCTCGATGCCTCTTAAAACAAATACCTTCATCAGAGAGATTCATGAACTAGAATTAAAGACGCCGTCTGACTCTCAAAACAACCGTACAAAGTACAACAGTAGACATTCCAAGATCGTTGCAGCTGACCTTGGAAATAAAACGTCAGTGTGAAGACAACTGAACACTTACAAGACGTGAACAGAGCCAACACCCAAAACAGTCTACACGTGTATCAAACACACATCAAGAAACAACGTCAACAAACGTGGGGTTTTCCCCCCTTCTTCCTTCTTCTTCCCCAGTACACACCATTCTGCAAGGTGTGCAAAGGTGAAAATTACAAAAAAAAAATGTTTAAACAAATTCTTGGGAAACAAGGTGGGAGGATGTGGAACAGTTCCATCTATTTCGGGAAGAATCTTCGGGTTTGATGAAAGGTAAGGAATGTATTGGAAACTGCAAGGAAGAATATTTTTTTTTATTTAGTGTTCTGTCTGCCGACAGGTCCATATGAACAGGATCCTTCCATCCTTTTCTCGGATTGGGACCTGTTCATATACGTTCTTGGCAGATGATCCAGAAGTGGTTTGCCATTGCCTTCTTCTGTGTGTGAATGGAGTAATTGTTGGGATGCCACGGAGAAACCGGGGAAACCCCGGAGGAAAACTCCGTGATGCCTGGACCACGGCCTTAACCAACACAGGTTGTAAATCTGAGCACCGCCGGGAATCGAACCCGGGACCCCAGGATTACAAGCCCAGCGTTCTAACTGCTAGACCGCAGTGTTAAAGTACCACTTAACTGCTGTGGTATGTTTTCTCTTGTAAGTTACGGCGAGTTATGGGATGGCGTGGTGATATCAGTGTAACTGTAAATAAGTTCATTTACCGACGCCTTCTTACATAAAAACTTACGTAGTGAAAAGTAATCAGGGAATGGTTGTGGCATATTTTACGATATTATCCCAGTATTTCTCAGAAGATACTGAGAAAAACGTACAATAAAACCTGTCAGATAGTTCAACTGAGATTCAATATGGCCACCTTCCGAACACTCATCGTTACCACCACACAAACCTACCAGCTGAAATACGATTGAGGGAATTCGCCACGTGTTAATTCGACAAATTTCGGTTGTTTTCAAGTTCAAAGTTTTCATTAATTTATTATTTATTTAACGACGCTGTCAATAGCTAAGATTGCATTACGAAGAATAGCGGGATAATAACGAATTAGAAAGGATGTGAAAGGAAACGATCGTGGCTTTTTAAGGTAGGTCTACTACACCTGATATGCTTAGAATTACTGGGGAAAACCACGAAAATTCTCAGACCGGATAGCTGGTCTCCAGAGAGACGTAAAACCAGTGACTAAAAGGTCTTGTGGTGTTTACGCTGCCCAATTACATGTACTGTCCACAGATGACGAGAAAATCCCTGCAAGGGGAAGTCGTTTCTGGTCGGTGCGGTGGGAATGTTACTTATCAGGTGGACTAGAGGGCTGCTATTGGTGGGAAGTGTGACACGTCAGAGTTCTACGCTACTACACAGACTGAAAACATCAAGCAGTTGAGACCAGCGTGTCTCTAATGTGTTCTGTGGGTTTTGCGATAATATTCTAGATTAAATCGCTGTGCCACTGTGAGGTAATCTTAAAGCTGTACCCATTAGAACACATGAAAGCCTGTCGTCTGTTGTTCGTTCAGTGGTTGTGGAACGAATGCTTTTAGGATGGGTCGTCACTCACCGCGAAATCTTGCGCATGCGCGTATATCGAATTCCTAGCAGGGACTTTCTCCTGGTCTGCGGACTGTAGTTTGAGATGATAAATGAGTCTACATTGAAATGGGGCAGATAAAATCTGACTGAAAACAAAATGTAGACATAAATCGAGTGCAAACGTTCAGAAACAGTGCCTTCGATCACTTAGTCTCCCTTATTTAAAACAATGTGAATAACTGATAATACTGAGCTTACGGAACACAACACAGTCCTTCCGTTAAGAAATTCAATAATACTGTTCCGTATTTAGCAAATTGATAATTACTCGTATTATTTATACATAATTATTTGTTTCACGGTATGTTACATGGTACCTATCAATGCACCAGGGTGAAGCCTTGTCTCTGATTCTGGAAAATAATTTGAACGTAATAAAGTGCTACATTAATATCATCCACAAGACGCATGCTGTTCTCAGAATGGAGAAATCCGTGTACGAGCAGTGGCTTCAATAAATGCTTCACACGCAGTCTGTAGAGATAAAAATGTGTCAACGCTACAGGAAGAATTCTGCCGAAGCAAAAAATACATCGCTGTGCAATGGGAAGGTCATTTTTGATGTGGGTTTTGAGAACCGAGTACCTTGGTACTGTTTGTAGTTGGGGTTTAATGACTACACCATAAGAAAAACTGTCCGTGCGATATTACAATCAGAAACAACATACTGTCAGAAGAAGAAACACTTTTTTAATAATATTAGTACGAACAGAAGAAAACAAGGGCAGCCATAAATTCAGAAATTAAAATATCAGTGGTGAGACCACCCTCTTTCAAACAAAATTATTATTTGTTGCTGCTATAGTGTTTCGAGGGATGAGCTTCACTCTTGAATACCATAGCAGAAGCATGCAGCGAACTCTTCCATAACAAGAAAGTTAGCTCAATAAATTAATTAGCTCATGAACGAATGTAACAATCCTACGACATTTTCCGGGATGGAGTAGAGGGGTTTGGTGGAATATTTTATTTCAGAATCCAGACCAGTAACATGCAAAAAATTATCCGCGAAAAACGTAATCCAGACCGATGAGTTATTAATAATACGACCCTTTGATATTTACTTTCCCACACAGAGTATAAACAGAGAACGGTAAACACAAAAATTAAAAACAAAACTGATAGGAAATTTGTCTCTCGTACGTGCATTTACAATTCTTGTTTACAACAGACAGCTTCCTATTTGGAAGATCCCGGAGACTACCCTGAGGTTTTTAATGCCCTTGCTAAAACCCTCCATGTAAATCCTGGGATAACATCGAAAAGTACGCACTGACCACTTGTTTCACATCATTTGCCATTCATTATTAACTGGATATCATAACACGTTATATAATATAACCATTGAAATTGTCATTAAATAAATCATAAATTGCATTTAATTACGCCAAGAACAAATTCCTCTTTTGATATAAACCAAACCGAATCTTAAACTTCACGTAAAGCAGCAGTTACGACGTGCCAATATAAAACCAGATCACCTGATAATTTATGGTTATTAAAATCTGTTCAGAAGTATCAGAGATGAGACAGAAATGAATTCCTCATTACACGTCCCATTTATAAATGTCCTATAAATAACATAAAAACAAGTAAAACATTTCCACGTTCACAACTTCAAAAAATTAAATGGTAAATGTAACCTAACGCTGAAAGAGTTAAATACACTTCGCCAATACAACAATTCCTTACTCTGACAATGAATCCATTGCTTGGACAGAGCCCCAATTTGAATAATGACTGTCATATAAAATCTGTAGTAATCAAAGAAAAACTTTCCCCAATGTCAATACGCCCATTAAAAAGTGCACACAAACTAACCT